ACAGACCCTTATTTTCTTTCTTCTTCTTCTCTTCTTCTTCCTCTTCTCCTTCCTTCTCTTCCTGGTTCAGACTACTGTAGCAGCATTCGAAACAACCTCCCTTTTTTTCATTTACCCCCTTTGGTTTTAATCCAGCATGTGCAAAATGTTCTGGGGGAGGTGGGATCTGTAGCTATACCTATCACTTGCTCTCTTCACTACTCACCATAGAGTACGCTTGAGTAAGTGACACTTCATCCTTGGCTAGAATATTTTGCCTTGTAATATCAAATTCAGGATTGAGTCCTGTAAGGAATTCAAACACTCTATTTCTTTCCACAAATTTTCTGAAAGTTTCTGCATCTTTGGTGCTTTCCCATACGACTGCTTCCATAACATCTATCTCCTGCCATAGTGACTTTAACATTGAATTGTAGACAGCCACACTCTTCTCCCCATATTTTAAAATTTTCACTTCATTCTTCAATTTGTAGGCCCTTGCAACATTTAATTTTTGAGAGTATGTTTCTGTAACACTATCCCAAATCTCCTTGGCTGAAGTCATCCATAGATAGTGTTGACTTATGTGGGGCTGCATAGAATTTACCAACCGCCCAATAACTGTGTAATTATCCTGCATCCATTTTTCATATGTAGGATCAGTCTCTTCCAACATCACCTTACTACCCGTGAGAAACCCTAGTTTACCTCTACTACAGCCATGGATCTTAATAGATTATGCCCAAGCAAGGTAATTTGTTCCGTCATGTTTAATTGTAGTGACTCCTGTCAAAATGGAATCTACGGGACCAACCCCCGACACCGGGATCGGCTTCATCTCACTTCCAGATTGCTCCATCAATCAAATGAAAATCAAAAAACAATGTTTTCAAACTTTATAGACCTAACTAAGGTCAATCAAACACTCAAAAGTCCCAAAACTAGGGTTTCACCGTACCTGGCCTCTGGAGAGAGAGAGAAGAAGTAGCCACTCAAACCAGAGCAATCCAAACCACTTCCAACTGCAGCCGCCCACTTTTGGAGATAAAAAAGGAACCCTCCAAGCCTTGAGCGACACACCCAAACAGCCTCTTAAACCCGTAACTGGAAACTCTCTAGTCGGCTAGGGTTTTGGGAAAAATTTTGCAGCCCACTTTCTTGGCAATCTTCGGCCAGCTTTTGACTCTCCAAACCCTCTACCAACTAGGCAAACAAGATCTCTGATTGATCAGCAATTTATCTCTCCATACACCTTTCGATTAGAAAAAAAGTGTATGGGAAAAAAAGGAAAAAAAAAGGAAAATGAAGGAAGACCTACTCTGATACCAAGATGTGATTCAGACCAATAAGATTAGCAGAAATATTTAGGTTAGAGCAGAAAGAAGGAAGGAAGAAGAGGAAGACAGCAAGAAGAAGAAGGAAAAATGGAGAAGAAAGGAGAAAGAAAGGAGGAGTTCGATAATCTCCTCTTTCCCCAACTCTAATCTTTTACTAAACTTACTTAAGTTACATAATTTACAAGGAGGCCCTTAAGTAGGCGTCCACATCAGCAATACACTTAAAAAACAAAACAGAAGCTAAAGACCCATAAAGAAAGAAGGCCCAATAAGAAAACATAACAAGAAGGAACTAATAAGAATGACACTAAAGAACTAAGGCCCATTCGGCCCAGTCTCTCTACAACCAATATCATGTTCCCTTCATCTGCCTCCATCTCAAGATCTTTATTCAAACTCCAAGAAATTAAATCACCAATTCATGAGTAATTCTTGCAATCCTTTCTCTTAAATATTTTTAAAAATTTTTTATTCATCATTTTTTTAAATTTTCCCATCAGAAAATTTTCATTCAAGTTGGTACAAACAACTGTGGAAATAATATTTAAAAAAGAATCTATCTACTCCATCAAGTATGATTGTAAAAATCTTACCATTTATAATAGGATTCACGATTACAATCACAAATTCCAAGGGTTGCAATTTGAATCTTTTATGGAAAAAGATCTTACAATTACTATTTGAATCTTATGTTCAATTTGTGAATCTCATAACTTATCTAATTCCAGCTATTCAAATCAATTAGACCAGGTCCTAGTTTTCTTTTCTTTTTGCATTTGTATGAATTGTGTATGGCAAAAAGTGAGTAACATAACAATATATACAGGATACACAAAAAGGGGCAAACAGATCAGCAAGCAGAAATGTATAGTGACTCACTATACATGTTTTGTCCATGGTGTTTTAGATGATGAATATAATACTAGTTTATCTTTTGCTCAAAAAAATATATATTACAGTTATAAAACTAATGTTTAAAGAACCTATTATTTCTTGAAGCTTAGGCTTGTCATGAAACCCATTTACACTCTAGAAACACAATGCAGAAGTTTTCAGTAAAAGGACGAATAAATATGACTAAGAAATGAACCAAGACAACAACAGTACTCTTCATTTCACTATATATAGAAGAATGCATACCCGAGAACCAAGCCTGCTCTCACAAGCGATTAGAATTATTGCACCCAACAGCAAGCATATTCCATGCCCCCAGTCCCCAAACATCACGGCAAAAAGAAAAGGAAATGTAATAACAGTATAAACAGCAGGATTTGCTTCCTGGTATCCAGCAACACTGCAAAAAAGGAAAACAAAGATTGTTGTCTTAACGATTGAAGAATTATTGAGAACTGCACTTTTAATTTAACAAAAATGAGCAGTTAAGTGGTTTTCAGGAAAAAACTGCACGAAATCCCCTCAATTAATCAAGCATCAAACATAAACACAAATTCACCTTTCAGAAATACACTTTTGTCAAAGGCATTCCTGTTCCTCTCTCACCATAACCCCCAGCACACCAAAAGATGTTATGCTCTAAAAGATCTTAGCTTGGGGGGATTATGTGGAGAGCTCTTAAACGGTGCAAAGCAATAAAACAAAAAAC